CGTTGTTGTTCTTTGGCTTTACGTATAGTTGCTAAATTTGGTAGATGACTTGGCTCAGCGTCTCCAAAGTTCTCCACACATGTGGCTGCAATCTACCTTCACAAAGTTCTTTTTTTGACTTCTGCAAACAATCTTCCAGACAATGAAAATACACTGTGCTCCAAAACCTTTGAAAACCCTGTGTGCAGGGATTTGTCCGTGTTTGCCATCACACACCGCATCACCATTGGGCACTGCATGTCTGGTTCCTTTTCACATGTAATGTACAGTTGACCCTTGCACTCTTTACAGAAACCTCTTATTTTTATGAAAGACGACACCTGGTTGGGGTACACCTTGGCTCTTTTTAATGTAAAAATGCAAGAACTTTTAATTTCATTCCAGATTCCCTGGTTCACAATATGAGTACATGTGCCTCTCTTCAAAATGGTGTATGCCCTTTTTTTTTTAAACATATCCTTTTTGTATGCGACTCCCTCTGGAATCATATGCATCCACTGTTCAAATGGGAGCTCCACATTAAAAGCCGTATTGCCTTTGTTTTGTAAAGGAGTCATGATTTGGTCAAAAGAAGCGTCTTTCTCACCGATGTCTGTCTCCGTCATGTTCTTTTCATTATTATAGTCAAGAGTAGCCCAGATATTGTGTCTGTTTAATTTGACAAATGTGAAAAGGGCTTTTGGTGTTAGCTTTTCGCCAAGTTTTTTACTGAGCTTTCCCCATATCCCATCACTTGGAGTTGCAATGTTGCCATTTCGTATGACTGTGTTTTTTGAAGCACAGAGGACTTCAATTACAGCTTTTGGGGGAACCAATGACTTCTTTGGCATCTGTTTAGCAAAATTATAAAAAATCTTGTTAGTTAAATATGTTGAAATATTTCAAATAACATGGCAGAGAATCAATAGCTTATAGTAGCTGTGTGAAGCTGACACCGCACCCACACCGAAAAATCCAGCAAATAGTCTGAGTGGTTAAAATTTTCGTTTGTGCAGCTTTAGTTTCTGGGATATAAAAAATTATATTTTAGGTCATCCAGAGTTCACCATCCCCCTATCTTGCTCCAAAACAAACCAAAGTGGGCTACTTTGTTAGTGCTCCATTTGTGCCATTAAAATTTTTGTTTGTGCAGCTTTAGTTTCTGGGATATTAAAAATTATTTTTTAGGTCATCCAGAGTGGATGTGGTGAGTATTCCTGACACTCCACCTTGGTTAAGTGGAAAAGCTGAAGTTGATATAAGCTTATTGGAAAAAGGCAGACAAATATAAAAAAAGAGGTGGAAAGGTATATAAATAAAGAATATGCTGAGTATTTACAAGTATGTACAGATGCTTCTAAATTGTTAATTGATAAAATTGGAATAGCATTTATAATTCCGGACTTAAATATTATGAAAAATAAGAGTAACGTATAGATTGACAGTTTACACGGGTGAGCTAATGGCTATATTAATGGCTCTAGAATGGAGTGAGGAAACGAGAAAGAAGGAAATATTGATTTGTTCAGATTCAAGTAGTGCATTAATAAGTATTTTAGAACAGAATTCAGAAACAAGACAAGATATATTGGATATTAATCAATCAATTTTTAGAATTAAAAAATATGAATCCTGGGTTAAGTTAATTTGGATTCCTGCTCATATTGGAATAGTAGGAAATGAGTAGGCGGATAAATTTGCTAAGAGTGCAGCAAAAAGGGATAATGTTGAGGTTAATATCAAAATAAGCAAAAATGAGGTCAAAAGTATAAGTAAATTATATATTAAAAAGAAATGGCAGGAACTATGAGATAGAGAAGAAAAGGCAAGATTTTATTATAGCATTCAAAAGAAGTAGGGGAATGTAGGGAAGGTAATAATAGGAATAAAAAAGAAAAGGATGTTATATCCAGATTAAGGTTTGATAGTACTTTGAAAATAATTAATAAACATAGTACAGGTTTGTGTAGTTATTGTGGAGAGTCAGAAACAGTGCCGCATATTTTTCTAGAATGTAATAAGTATAGTCGGGAAAGAAAGGTGTTAATCAGAGTTAAATAGAAATAAAAATAAATAATGGAGGCCTTAGTGCTCGATGCAGCTGTCGCAGGTTCGATTCCCGGCCTTGGCGACCTTTGCTGCATGTCTTCCCCCTTCTCTCATTACCCACTTTACTGTCAATTAACTTTTGAATAAAGGCCACTAGAGCCCCCCAAAAGATTGCTGCAAAAATCGTCTGAGGATGTAGTATTTAACAGCATTTTTAGTTTTCTTAGGAAGTCAGGTATTATGGGAAGATTATAGTGGTAGGACAACTAATCTATACTCCAGTCTGGAAGGTGGCGGTAATGCACCTATAAGTTGTTTGCCAACCGCCATAAAACAAGAAGACGACGACGACTGCGCTGGGTTTACACCTGTACGGCAGTGAAGGAGACCTGCTGCTGCTGCTGTGCAGAGCTACGCAGGTTTGTGTTACAATCATGGCAGCAAACCGCAAATAACTTTTCAGTTTTTCCCCCAAACTAACCGACTGAGTTGAGTAAAGCTGTTGGATGCAGGTAATGCTAGCTAAAAGATGACTAGCTAATATCACATCACCTTAAGCTTAACAAGCTTGATGTTGTCTATGTTCGGCTACGTACATTCATTTTGCCCCCAAAAAAGTCGACCCCCACCCACAAACGTCGTTCAAAAAGGCAGCTATAAGTAATCCATAGGGGGGGCCCAGAAAATGTTTGGAAACCACCACTGGGGGGGAGGTGAGCCCAGGTGAAAAAGTTTAGGAACCACTGCCTTAAGCTAACACGCGCGTGCCTCATGCTGACATTCAGATTCAACATTTTATCATATTTATCCCAGCATAAGATGTCCCAAACATACCTCAATAATGTTAACAATCATGTTCATTACGTATCGGCTTTCTGCTTAGCACGGAACTAACCTGTTTTAACAGGAGAAATAAGTGAGCCCCACGGTGTTGTTGCGCTGGTAGCTCTCATCTGAATGGAGGGTAGCTTTTTCAACACAGAAATATTGCACCGTCAGTCCCACAATGTCCCCCTTCTGCCATCTAGCGGCGCATTTGTGCTGCTGCATGACATTGCTTCAAAAATTTCCAAACAAGGTAAAATCTGAAACTAAAATCACAATTAGTTGTGATTTTAGTGGTCATACTTTGTGACCACATACTTTGTGGGGGTCACACAGATATCTAAATATTCCAAGAATGTGGCCAACCGGCTATGTTGCGTTTTGGTTTAAGTAGTTTTTGATGGTGCCATTGCTGCAGGCCCTCAGTTTCTTGAGTTTCACGAAGGTTTGACAGTTCTATGTCTCTTCACCTTCCTTTGTTCTCTTTGTTTTTGGATGTTTCTTTCTGTTAATAGTTTTTTCTTCCTAAGTTCGAGGATATTTTTTTTATTATTCTTATGTTAGCGGATCCAATCGTCTCCCTTTTTACTGGTGTGTTAACTCATTTTTAATTTTATCATATTTTTCACCATATGATGGTTCTTAATCTAATCTCAATCAATGCCGAGGTCATAACATACTTCACAAAAGCACCACTGTATTAGAGTTTCTCTGCAAAAAAAGAAAACATAGATTTTGCTATGATTCAGGAATCACATTTAGTGCACAAAGATGTGGGTTGACTAGCCAATAAATGTTATCATTCTATTGCAACTTCTTCTGCAGTAACAAAACGTAAGAGGGTAATGGTTGTGTGTAAACGCAAACTAAACAGAGTCGGCCACGTTCCCCACCTCCATTGACTTATCAGAGTTGTGGCCACAAGGTTGTCAGTACCTGTTTTAGGAGCAACCCTAGAATCAGCTGGTGGGCAGTTGTCAGAAGTAATGGATGCTGTCAAGCTGAAAATAGAGAGCTATCAGGTCTTTTTGGTCTGTGGGACCCTGGAAGCAGCTGATGGCTACTGGCAGTCCAAGCGACATGCAGCTCAGGTGGTCGCTGAAGCAAAAACTTGGGCATGGAAGAAAGTCACAGAGGCCATGGAGAATGACTTGGTCAGAGTACTTTGAAGACCTCCTCAATCCCACCATCGCATCTTCCACTGAGGAAGTGGAGCCTGAGGACTCTGGATCAGGTTCTTTTGAGTTGACCACGGTGAGAGGCGCAGAGAAGGAGTGGGCATACTTTTTGCCTCCCATCTTGATGCCTGTATGTTGGGGTTCCCTCCAGTGAAGAGGGAACTCCGTCTACTTGTGGGGGGGTACAGGTTTTGACTGTTGTTCGTACTTATGTGACAAACGGCAGTTTGTTTTGAGCATTTTTAAGATCAACATTTCTTTAAGCCGAATATTAGTGACTAAAAATTAAAGAGGGAAATGAGAGCCTATCGAGGCTGATCCAGATTTCCTGTCATGCTGTAGTTTGCATGTGATGTTGCACAATTGTCAAATGATTTCAAATTGCTGCACCGTCATTCAACAGACATTGAGGATGACAGAATCTTTAAAGCTCTTTGTCCAGTGTTTGTTTTAAGATCTTGGGAGTGTTTGCCTTGGAGGGAGTGGATTTTCTTCAGCTGAGTCAAACAGTTAAATGACTCATTGAAAAATGATGTAGCAATCACTGTTTCTGGTTTAAATAGGTTTACATCCAGCTTTTGTCTTGAATGACTTTTAGTATCTTTGCTCTGTCAGAATATATATATATATATATTTTATTTCCAATAAGTTAAAGTTTGAATAGGAGAAAAACAAGAGAACAGTTGTTTTTAATATTTCCAAGCGCATTTTTCACAATTGTTCTATTTATTTCCCAATATTAAATATGCAGCCACAAAAACAAATAAAGAAAAAAGAATTGGAACAGCTAATCTGTATTCATAACAACAGATGGTTTTAACGCAGTGCTGTTAATACATCTGGACTATTCTCTGATAAAAGACAAATGCAGTAACATGTTATATTTCACAAGAATGATTCATTTCATCACAGAAAGCAGCAGCAGCAGCAGCTTTATGTGTCTTAGTGCTGGGTGGAGGGAACGCCCCCCGGTCAGCCTCCTGCTTTCCTGCTGACAAGAAGCACATGACCAGGCGTGTTTACACCTGCAAACACGTACTCGTTACGCACACCGTGACGGTCCCGCTGCCTGTCTGTCAAGCCAAGACAAAGATTTGACCTTGTGTCAGGACGCGATTCGCTTTGGGGACGCTCTCTCGGTGAGTGGGTTCTGTGTAAATTAGCCTCATTGTCTCTGGTTGTCCTCCTCCTTTGAGGAAACGGCTAGCTTCTCTTCCGTAGCAGAAGCTGCTAGGCTAGTGTGCTAAGCTGTCAGAGGGTTTACTGCAGCACCTTTACTGTCCTACTAATTTAAAACTGTCTCTTTAACAACTTTTTTTTTTTTTGAACCACAAAATACTATATTTCTGACATAGGAGTGCAGAGTATGTTTGTCTTTTAATGTCATATAGTGTTTGCGCTCCAGCAACTATATCGGAGCTGCTTGTCTTAATTTATAGGGACTTTGAATGGATTTTGGGAGAAAACTCGTGTGATATCTGCGATTTTTTTGTTTTCTAGATAAATACAGTTAAACTGTAATGGCCGTTTCCACTCATTGTTCAGTATTTAAAGTGTGTGTAAGCTGTCACGCAGGTTTGTCGTATGGAAGCATTACCTGCTGTGTGAGCTCTAAATCAGTAGAAGCTGCACAGTTTGCCTGTCCGCTTCAGTAATAACTTGGTTTACATGCATCTTAGCACAACTAATAAGACATTACTTATTTGCTGCTGTCTTTTCTAGTTTTGCAAGCTAATTTTAAAAAATAACTATGTGCACAAGCTTTAGGAAATCTGTTGTTTATATAAAACTTTAGAAAGCTACAAACCCGTTTTTAATGTGAAAAGGGATGTTTGATGCGTCTTGATGAGGTTGGCAGCCACATATTTATAAACCAGAGATCAGAATTAGTTAGTTTTCTCTTGTTCTGTTCCGATTGGTGACATGAACTTCCTCCATTCAAAGTCAGTGAAAGCATCAACCTACTGAATATATTTAAAAGCGCTTTTTGCATTTCATAGAAGCAAGGTTAGGGAAGCGGTCCGATGCATGTACGAAGATGATCTTTTGATTCCTTTTATTTCTGTTTGATTCAGAACAACTCTCTTTATGAAAAAAGGTACAGCAGATTTGTTTTTTCTCTTTTGTGCTGTAATCCATTGGAGTAAAAACTAGAATGAACAAGGAAAACCAGAAATCTGGTGGTAGTCTGGAATAAACTGATTGATGGAGCTGTAATTCTTGCCAACAATCTCTCCCTGTATTAATGGTAGTTTGCATTTTGTTTCTCAGCTCCAGGGAGCCTCTGCTCGTCTGTCCCCAGCAGAAAGTGTCCAGCTTCGCTCACTGGTTTCAGGAAGCCTGTCTTCTTGACGGCTACCATGGATGACACAGACGTAGAACGTACGTTTTTTTTTTATGCTAAAGTCTTTCTTTGTCACAACGTTTTAAATCGAAATGTTCTGACTTAAGTTTTCCGTCCTCATTTACATGCAAGTACAAGTCCGCCTGACATATTTGTTTCTTCTGCTGTTTTTTTAATCCGCAGAGGTGACACTGGCTCTGCTAGATGCAGCCAATGATAAGGACTCTGAGGTCCAGGATCAGGTCAGAAAGTCTATGTTGACTCTGGGAAAACAGCAGCCAGACCGAGTGCTGGCCATGTGCCAGGACTACCTCCTGAAGCATCCCAAGGTAAAACTTCAGGATATTCAGTGTTTGTCTTGAAATTTTGTCCCATCATTAGGCGTAAATTAAATGGACAACTTCTAAAACGTTTCTTTTTTTTTATTATCTAAACTTCTGCAAATTGGTTGTTGCTGATGTTTGCTTTGAGACACCTGGTGACATATAAATGAGGAAATGAAACTGTGTCAAAGAGGTTTCACTGTGTAATCTTGAAAACGGCATCAAAAGATAAACTATAAAGTAAAGAATAGACGTGATTTGATATAACGTGTCATTTTATTGGTCCGCAGGTTTTAATTCAGCCTTTTGTTTCTAGCACAACTGAACACATCAAGTTGAAACGTAATGTTTGAGGTTCAAGTATGAAACGTCAATAGATTCAGCTTATTTTTACATTAGTCCAGGGCTCTGACTCAGCTCATGACTGTATAATAGGGATCCATCTTATCACACCGCCACAGCTATCGATCTCGCCATCTTTGGTTCACTGTGACACATTGCAATCAGGAAGTTTTAGACGACATGCGCGGTGCAACACGCAAAGCAGAGGAAGGCATTTTACGCGACACACTCTGTATTGCAAATGTATTTCTTGGAATCTTCACATATTTTTATGCCTTCCTCATAATCTGCTCTCCCTTGGTTTTCCTCTTGCAGCTGGTAGTGAGTCACAGAGTCGTGGTTCTTCAGACCATTGAGCTGATTGTTGGCTGCAGGATAGAGGAGATCAGTGCTCCCCGAATAAAAAGCATCATCTCCCTCGCTTCAGAGGAAATGACCAGGTCCAAGGTGAAATGGCCGCTCCTTTATTTTTATTTACACAAAATAAATAACATCCACTGATAATAATGTTTTGCTCTCATCGCGCCCTCTTGGTTGCCTAAGGATGTCGTTCCTGACTGGCAGCAGGCGGCCAGTAACATCTTGGTTGCCGTGGGGAACAAACACATCAACGACATCATGGAGGAGATACTGAGCAAGTTCCAGCCAGGGGTCCTACCTCACTTCTTCGTGGTTCAAACACTGGCCAACCTCTCTGACTCAAACGGTGAGACACATGAAAGGGGGAAGAAACATTTCAGTCTCCGATAAGGTAACCACCACAGAGTGGCTCACGTGAGCCAACTCGCCAGCCACTGACCAGGAAGTCACAGCTCTGGCAGGAAAGCAGTGAGTGACTGTTAGGAGAAGAACAGGAACCTGTTTAACCTGCCCAGAAACGTTCCCACCGTTTGGTTTTTTACTAGAATGAGTCGGTTCCACTGACAAGAAGACTCACTCAAACGTTCCTACACCTCTGAGAGATTATCCTGCCGTGGAAAAGGAAATGTCTGAATGCTATTAAACATATTATAAAAGATTGTATCATGAGGAACTCGTAGGAAGTCTTTGTTGTTTCCTCCAAAAGCTTTCTTGCAAAGTCCCAAATAGGACTCATTCCAGTGCTGTAAAAAAGATTATTTTCAGTGGTTTTATTCTTTTAATTTCTCAATATTTCTATTTTCTAGTTTATGGGATGGTGCCATTCCTGAATGCCATCTTGGGAACCATGTTGCCAATGCTGGCCATGGCCAAACAGGACAACATGAAGTGGGTATTTTCATCCGGTAAGAACCTCCCACCATTCAGTTCACGTCTCATCTTAAAAGAACTGACTAAGAACTTCAAACATTTGTTCTCTGATGTTCTGTATAATAACGATGGAACACAAAGTGACACCTTCAGCGTTTCCTCCTCCTCCTGCTCTGTTCATGCTTGTCGCTCTCTCTCCTGCTGTTTTCCTCCTCATGCTCTCCTGGCAGCGCTGTGTCATTTCAGTGACAGCATCCTGGAGTACCTGGCCAACCTGGACAAAGCTCCAGATCCCACAGTCAGAAAAGACACATTCTCCGGTGAAATCTACGCAGCTTTTGACATTCTCTTCAATAACTGGTTACAAAGCAGGGAGCCCAAGGTAAAGGATACTCCAGATCAATACAGAAAGTTGAACAAGATGACATAAAATGCATCAGCCTACAAACACAACCTATAGGTAGCATAACGTCGTATATTTGGGGTGTAATTAGGACGATTTTTATCCTGTAGTAAAGTAAAAGTCCCAAAGAAACACAAGAGTCCTCTGTTTGTAATGAGTCTGCATTAATGAGTGCTGCTGAGTAACAGCCCCTCCACTGTTCTCCTTAATTGAAGTCGATGTTGGTTCCATTTAGAGACTTCCTGACAGTCGACCAGATGCTCACAGAGTGACGCAAGTTTTCTCTTTTCTTTATAACTTATTAGGTTTTTTTCGGTCAGTAGATTTTTTTTTTTTTTTAACTGGTGACTTGAAGACGTGTCCCAGTGCTATCGTGATTTTTCATTTGCTTTATTTAACTTGTAAATAAAGTTAGCTGGTATGCTGGTAGTCTCTTCTGATTTCCTCCCTTGCGGAGCGGCGAATGTGCAGTCCGTCTCATCTGTCACCTCGTATCCTGCCTGTCTTTGTGTGTCCTCCAGCTGAGGCTGACAGTGGGTGAGGCGGTGGGCTCCATGTGTCACCTGATGGCCAGTGACAAACTGGAGGAGCAGCTGCCCAGAATCATCCCCACCATCGTGTCCCTGTACAAGAAAAACACCGAGCACTACGTCATCAGTAAGGTGGGCGCAAACGCTCCGAAACAGTCAGGTTGTTGACTGCAACAAGTTTAGCTTGAAGCTAAGAGTCTTCCCTTTGGTCCGAACAGAGCTTGTGCCAAGTCCTGGAAGCGTCGGTCAACATGGGCAGCAGAGTCCTGGAGACGCAGCTGGACGGGCTCCTCTTGACTCTGCATCAGCAGGTAAAGACACGTCAACGCCAGGTTAGGCGCCGCGACTCCAATTTGAGTGATCCTGGACGTTGCCTTTAGTTGCATCACATGTCGTGTCACTGTAGTCATAGTCATGTGGTTTCATGGACTTTGACAGCACTTGAATAATGCTTGTTATTGCAGAAATTTACCACAAATGACTGAATGGATGTGCAGAAAATCTGTAAACATTGTAAAAGTGCCTTTTCCTTTTTTTTTTTTTTTTTTTTTTTTTTTCCTTTTTTCAAAAAAACAAAGTTTTTTGACCCAAAGTTAAAAAAATGGACACAGCATAGAGAAGTGTGATTGGTATGTCACGGCTTTCTTGTTCACATTATCATTGAAGAGATAATTTGTCATTGAATTTATAGCTTTATTACCTGGTTTTGTAACTCAATAATCAAATCTTTGTCAGATCAGTGCCCGAACCATATATGAGTTCTGGGTTACGATGGCAATACTTTACAATATGCAGGTTATTAATAAGCGACACAGACTTGAAGGTTGTGTTTTAAGATGAAGTCACATTATGCATTGAAATATAACAAGATATTTAAAAGGACTTTTCTGAAACACGTCCTCAAAAACACAACTTAGTTCTTAGTTAGTTGAGGCTATAAGAGAGATTAAGACTTAAAACAGAAAAAAAAATGTATAATCTGTTTTCTTATATAATTTAACAGGACACGACAGTCATTATTACTGTCTCATTCTAAGCGAAGCCTCCTTGCTAATTTAAAAAATAAGTGAACTTTCACAGCAGGACGGCTGGAATAAAAGCTTCAAATTCTTTTATTATAATTCTTAAAGAAAAATCAGAATGGGTTGTGATTGGTATAGGCACTTTACAAAACAATTGAATGTAAAATTAGTACATCTTTAAGTACATCCGTTTGCATTAAATTAGTTGTGATCTCGTGTACCTTTTCCTTCGTCTCCTGCAGGTTTCTGCTCCTGTCGATTACAGCGACCCTCCTACTGTCAAGAACCACAACGAAGTCTTGCGTTGCTTCAGCTTGCTCGGTACTGGTTCTGTTTTTATTTCTGTATATGTATTAAAATGTGAAGGGTGACCACAGTGTCTATATGGCAAAGTTTAAACCCCATCCAACCGGCTGATCTATCGGATGTAGCTCTACGGAGTCACAAGTGCAGTAATGAGATCATGCATTAGTGTGTTGGCTCTGTCTCCTCCACATAATCTCGTTAACTGTGAAAGTTGCTCCACAACTTCTCCCATTTCACTTACTTGCTTGTTTTTTTCTGGCTTGAACTATTTCTATTTAGTTATTTATTTTATTAATATCTTTACTTTTTTTGTCAACTTTGTCCATCTCACTGTTTTATTCCTCCTCTCCCACTAGCCAACTCTTTTCCCGACCGGCTGGTCATGTACGTTCTGCAGAGGTTGGAGAATAGCAACGAGCGCAGCAGGATGGGCTCCCTGGCTGTGCTTCGTCACCTCATAAACTCCTCCTGTAAGGAAAATGCTACAACCACACGCCACAAATTTCATTTTTTTTAACATGGCTTTTATGAATACGTTCACCTCTTATGTGCATGCGTGTTGCAGCTTCTACAATGGAGAGCAAAAAGCTTCTGATTCTGGCCAGCATTAGACAGCCGATGGCAGACCACAGCAACAAGGTAACATCATAACGGTGCAAAGAGAGATTCATTTTATTCTGGGGGACAGCCTGTCCTTTTTTCTTTTGGTCAGGGTTCTTGATGGAAAAATATGGAGTTTGAAGTATTTTCCATGTGTGCATAAGTATGGAAAAAATATTTTGTAGATTATTTCCGTTTTCACAGTTGGCACAACAAACATCTAAGATCTAATTTGCGCCAATCACACTGCTTTAAAACTTTTCTTAATATGGAAGATAAAACTCCATACAAACTCTCAGATATGGATGGATAGAGATCAGTCTATCAATGATGATTGTAGAAATATTCAGTTCAGAATGAACTTTTGTTCTTACGTTTTTCAAAAAGGCCAGAAGGTGGGAAAAGTTTGAAATTTTGACAATGATAAACAGTATTTCCATTGCTGCATATTGGCTTGTATCTGAGCATCTGGATTTGTCTGTTTTGCAGGTGAAGAAGCGTGTGGTCCAGGTGATCAGCGCCATGGCCCATCATGGTTACCTGGAATTAGAGGGAGGGGAATTACTGGTCCGATTCATAGTTCAAAACTGTGCTCTGCACGACACATACCAGGTAAAAAAAAAAAAAAACTTGAAACATCTGTTCCAGCTTTCCGCTTTTGTTTTGAGTGGAATTTAATGGATCCGACTAAAAAATTAATGTAAAAAATTGTGTGATGGATCATGTTCCACCAAAGCTGATTTGGCACAAAAACGAAGACGGCAGATTTACAAGCAGACACTCGCAGTAAAATAAAGCAACAAAATCATTAGTGCAGCATATATGAGATCTGCAGATGGCAGGAGATAAAAATGTACCTAATCAGCTCAATGGTCCTGCTAAGATTAAAGTTGTTTAATGACTCTTAAAGCTAACTAATTAACAATGTCTAGACAAAAGTTGGTTCTTTTATATCTTTTTGCACTTTTTATGAAAGTAAAATGTATTCCTATGAATATTTGCTCCTCTGTGTGTCCCAAAGTCCCACCAAAGAGCAACCAGCGATCCAGAGGAGGTGACCAATGAGGCACTAAGGACGATGTGTGACAGCACCCTCCATCTCCTCACCACCACCGTCGGCCGCCTCGCTGACGTAAATGTCTAAATGTCTCTGTCTGATCTGTTCATGGATAATGAATGCTGATATTCCTACCATGAATTTATTTTTTTTTTTTTTTTTGTTTTTGTTTGAAGGTGCTTTGGCCCAAGCTGCTGTACTACCTGACGCCTTCACAGTTCAGCAATGCCACGACTCCCCTCTGCAAGAGTCTCATCGTGTTGGGGAACAAGAAAAAAAGCAACCAGGAGCCCAGCTTCAAGATTGATTTTACACAGGAGGGTTAGTATGCTGCTTTTACTGATCAGTAAAACAAATTACACTTTTATCACACTCCGACAGTGTGACGAATGTGTGCTGTTATTTAATCAGAAAAGCAACAATTATTGTTGCTTTTCTGCTTCTAAAACAATGTTGATATTTACAGTTGTCCTATCTTTAATATTTATTTCTAGTCATTTTGAAAAAAAAACAGATTATTAACTTTTGCTGAGGAAAATCTTTGCAATTTTCAGGCTATAATTTCTTGATATGCTTTGATATCGGTGCTGTGAAATACATTTTCTCTGCTCATTTGGTGCAAAAAAATAACAAATTCTAATAAGTATTGGAAGTAAATCTTCAAACTGAAAAAAGTGTTTCTTACAGTTTGTCTTGTTCTTCTGATGAATTTCACGTTCACACATTCTTCTCTTTTTCTCCTCGCCACCAGTTAATCTCCCATCTCCTCAAACTCTAATGATCAGACTGCTGGTAAGTCAATTTGCACATTACAAATGAGCCATAAGCTCATATGCTAAAAGAAGGATTTGCATATGTTTCTTCTCGGCATGTAGAGTGTAAAATAGAGGCTGTAGAAAACTAATTATTAAGTATCAGGAACAGATTGTGATTGAATGGGGGAAAATTAATTGCGGTACATATTTGTCTTTCTGACTAAGTCTTGGTTACATTCTGCAGGATGCCATGATTTCCTTCTATGTGATATCTGATTTATTTTTTTTTCTCCTAGCCTGTTTAGGCCTCCAACTATAGATGTTTTGAAACTATTTTTACAGAACGGTGTCACTGTGTTCTAGGTCAACGCAGCGTTTCCTTTTAATAGCAGAGGCCATGGACCGCCGTCGCTCTCGCTCCTACAGATCCTCAGCATCAACATTCACCCCAAAACGGAAACGGTCTGGGAGAAGGAAATTCCTCCTCTGCTTTCGCTGCTAGAGGGTGCGGAAACTGTTTCTTTATTCATTTGATTAGATTGTAAAGTGTGCAGGTTTTCATTTTCTATTGTTATTATCAGAGTCAACAGCAGAGAGTCTGGATAAGAAGAAGTGGGATGAGAAGCTACTTGAGGTGGGTTTTTATTGTCAATAATGTGAACTTCTGCCAATAATTATTAGCCTTTTGTGTGTGACTAGATGTTAGCAGAATCGATATTTAGCTGTCTGAAATTGCCCCCAGCTCTTGTCTCAAACCCTGACGTCGATTGAAGATGACAAGTGGGTTTGTCAGTTTGCTGCTGAAGCAACAAGATACCTCTCGACATACAACAACGCCCTGGAGGAGAAGGTAATGTGTGTGTGTAATAAGCTTTATTTTCATGTGTCTAAAATTAAGGCCTTGAAATATAAGTTGGTGTTAAATTTTATCGTGGCAGGACAATTTAATGTCTTTTTTTTTCTCTCTCTCTCACAACTTTTCTGTCAGACAAAAAAGTTTGAGTCGCACACAAACATCTTCATTGCATTCTGTGACTCAAGGGAGACTTCCTGCTAATGTACCCTTGCTAGCCAGCTAGCTAGCTTTTTCATCCTTATTGTGGGCCCAACACCGAGTTCACAGTTTTTGCTATACTTGATTGTAATGCAAGTTCGCCTGATTGTCCCCTCTTTTGCTTTTTCTGTCTTAAATATCATTCAAGGTGACATTAAAAGCCTTAAAGTTGACTTGCTGTAATCTACAGATACCCTGTTTGAGTCTGGGGTTTATTAACTTCCCATTTTGGAGAAGCTACTGACATGCCACACAGTAAACGTGTTATAAAAGTCAAAAGCTAAGGCTTATAAGATTTCCAATAAAGTCTCTGAACTCACTACATAATTTGTAAAAGGATATTAAAGGGTCACTAGACAAAGTATTGAAGTTCTATAACCTAAATGTTTATGAAAGACTTGTTAAGATTGCATATTTGTATTTTACAGGGTGTGGTGCAAAATATGTTGACATCTATGATTGTGCAAACTCAACATTTATAAGGGATGTAAAACTGTCTAATAAAGAGCGGAAAACAAATCCCTTCCTTCTCTCGTAGAGCTTCCTGTACCGATGCATCGGAGTGACTCTCCAGCAGTGTTTCAATAAGGAGGTTGTGAAGAAGCAGCTACAGGAAGTCCTCCTCGCAGCGCGACACAATGACGCAATTGAAAGAGAGGTAAATGAAACACAAAACAGGTTATATCCATCATTAATTTCTGCTTTACATCAGTCTAACTTTTAACTTTCCATCCTCAGGGGGTGGCGATGGGCGTCGGTCTGTGTGCCAACAGCCATTTAGAGGGAACATTGGCCAAGCTTGATGAGTTTGGCAAATCGGACGCTTTCAAAAAGTCGCCGAGCATCTTCAACCTGCTCAAAGTACAAACCGTGAAACCCCCTCAAATGGGAAACGTTTTGTCCGGGTTCCTGCAAAGAGTTTTACCGTCCGCTCTCTTGCCACAGGAGCGTAATGAAGTTGAGGTGGAGAAGGTGAAGAGCACATTAATCCTGTGCTACGGCCACGTGGCGCTGAACGCGCCTCCGGAGAAGATTCTCAGCCGCATCGATCAGGACATCTTACGCTGCATCAGTAAACACTTCAACACCAAGGTACGGAGCGTGCTGGGAGAAAGAGGCAGCGATTACGAAACCAACCGTCTGTGCAGATAATTCGGATAAGTTCCTCCCTGTGATGACAGTAGTATTTATTATCAGTGAACAGTGGCTTTGTCTAAGCTCCTCTTTGTTGTGGGAAGTACTGCAGGTCACTTCTGTGCTGCTGAACTGAAGTGACTGTTCACAGCAAGATGCTGGTTGTTTAGATAAAGATTTATGTTTATACATAATTTTGTAACGTGCTTGTAATAAATGCAGGACACATTTAGTGACCAGTTTTGCATTCATTGCAAAAAAAAAAGGGAAAAAATCCTGGAGCTGGCCTGCAACATCTGACCAGCATCATTATATGATTCAGATCAACATTTAGCTTCTGATTAGACGGATATTTCAAGACTAGGCATGCCATCATTCATTTAATCCTTCTCTAGTTGTATGTTTATTCAGCATAAGATGTCATGAACAGTTTATAAAGGTAGTAACGTTTTTTTTTTTTTTGTTTTTTTTTGCGCTATTATCCCGTCACACTTTGGGTTATTTCTGATCATGTCACCTTTCAGCCTGAAATGCATAGAATTTATTGAGAATTTGTATATGACCTTATTACGTTGTCACCTCTTTTTATGCAGGTTCTTGGGATTAAAGTAGAGACAAAGGTATAGTTACAGGGTTAAAGGGTTTTGTTTTGTTTCTTCTGTTTGTTTCATCTTGCTCCTCTGAGTTTTCCTCTCCGGGTAATTTTGCTAAATCCTTGCCTGACAGCTCTAAAGTCAGCTTGATCTTAATGAAACAATCGCATTTCCTTTAAGCTTTTGCTGACCTTGCTTTAATATTTGTGAAAGGTCCACAGTAAACAAATTATTGATTAACTAAACAGTGTGTGGGTATAGACCTGATGATAATTAGAGGCATGCATTCATATCACTTTATGTACATCTATTTATTTATTTTTTGACACCAGGTGTCAGTAGAGTGACGAAGGTCCTCATTGTTACTAAAATGTAACTAAATTCAATTTAGAAAATAGCCTGTCTCCACTTTAGATCATGTACAAAGGAAATAGCCAGTTATTGTATCATTAATCATCACTTTGAACATTTTATTTTTTAAAATCATGATAGTAACTGTGATCTGTTGTGACAATAAGCTCTAATAAGACGATGTTTACAAACGGTAATCTTACGATTGGAGCTAAACGCAGTCAAAGCCATATCGGCAATTCAAACTGCAATATATTGTTTAAGTTTACATATGTATTTTTTTTTTTACATTTATTATTGCTTCAATAGAAGCCTACATTCCTCATATCTCTCATCATATCTCATGCCATTCTCAACCTCATTTCATAAATATCTACATTTCTTCCTTGATCCTGCTCTTTCTTTTTTGTCTTGGTAGTTGCTTAAAGGTGGACTGCTCTTAAATTACTCATCAGTGACTCACCCTCAGTGTGAAATGCTCTTGTGATTTCTTAACTCTTCATTTCTCCCGAGGCTTTAGGCTCATCCGATGCTTTTTTTTATTTTATTTTAGACGGGGAGCCTGCAATTGATCTGCTGTTTTTAGAAATCACTTCTAATTCTGCAATGATGATTTCAGATTTCTCTCCATCTTTGGGCATGGAGGATCAATCTACAACAGCATTTTTGGATTGATTAAAGTGATCGCTTTGCTGGGTGCTTTGCTCTTACGGTTGCGTTCACTATTAATAAAAATCAGTCTGCTGGAGTAGATGTTGTATATGATTCCTCTGCTTGTTGTTTTTGTCGGTCTTTGCCTTGGTTCAGGACCTGACTATGAAGCTCAGTTTGATCCAGAGCGTTGGGCTCATAGCCAAAGCCATCAGCAGATGTGTGAAGAAACAAGGCTACATCTTCTCCCGCAAGCAGGAGCTCATCACCGTCATGCTGGTCGGTATTATTACCATTTACCAGCTAACTTGTAGTTTCATTGAAATTACTGTAATATTTACCTTTATTATTTTTTTTAATTCCTGTCTTCTGATTTCACGGCTCAGGATTTTATGAAGTCAGAGCCGTCTGACTCGTTAAAGACTCCAGTACGCCCCCTGGTGATGACAACCTGTGCCAACCTCATGTATCCTTTATTTCTCTGTGTTTACCGTGTCGTGTTGCAGAAATACGATTGAACGATGATCCACATTTTCTAAAATGTTAAACAGCAAAAAGCTGTTTTACATTTTAGATGTGTAAATGGCATTAACTGTTGCTGTTGTTGTTTTGCCATATAGTAAAAAAAATATATATATTTTTGTAAAATCCTGATTTTATTACAGTAATTCTGCAATAAAAAAAACAAAGGGCATTCCCAGTGCTGGTCATATCTGCACCACTGACACAATGTGTCACACCATGCGGCTTTCATGGTAATGTTGCTCTGAAACATTAATAGTAACTATATTACATTAATATATTATTGTCATGTTGTTTATTAAAACCAGTAATCATTTCCTCCCTTCTGTACGAGCCGAAGGAGGACAATAAAACTGAAATGTCTGAGGTGGAGAATAAAGCTAAATTCATAGATTTTTGTCTCCCACAATCTCTCTTCGTTGTCAGCAATTTCGGATCCTTCATGATCTAATGTCGCCATATCGGCCCGCAGGTGTGTGCGCTCGCTTTCTTCCAGAGTTTAATCTTTAACTGCGAGTGCTTCAGGTCCCTGGACCCTCCGCTAAGTGAGAACGAGAGCTTTGACTTGCTCAAGGTGTGTGTAAACGGCGTGCTCTCCCTGCCGCCCGACACACACACTCCAGAGAAAACTAAAGACGAGGAGATCCTCGACCCCAAGCAGAGAAAGGTGACTCGCAGATGAAACGTGCTGCTTGGGTTGATATTGGTCTGTCTCAGTCACTTTGTTTTATTTTTAAAATAAAACATAAAAACACTCTTGTCTCATCCCTCTAGGTTTTGTACAGAGACACACTGGCTGCTTTGCAGGAGCTTCTGAGGAGCATACTGGCCAGGGATCCCAGTCCGGACGGCTTGCAGGGAATCTTTAAGGTGAAGCCTGATGTTTGTTCTCATCACTGCAGCTTCGTCTTTATGTATTCATGCCGGTGGCGTGTTGCTGTTCTGTTTTGATCTTGATTGGCTGAATCTGTGGTGGTTATCCTTGTTTAGACAATACAGTTGCAAAGAGAAGAGAAAATATGTTTTTATTATAGCCAGTCAGTGAAGTGAATGATGTATCATCCTTCTTTTATGTTCACACATACGTTTAAAGTTTGCCTTGCGTTGCTTTTGTGTGTTAATTTTACCTTCAGACGTTTTGTTCTCGTCCTTTGCAGCACATTGAGTCGTGGCTGGGCTCTGTACACGACCATGAGAGGGAGAGGGCCATTACAGCCACCTCTAACCTGCTGACTTACTACCTGGAGAGCCTGACCGTCAAGGTGCACATCAACACGTCACACAGAGGCCCACATGCATCCTTAAACATCTTAATGATCAAGTCTTAACTGATCTGCCATTTCTGCAAGCTTCTTTTTATTGCACAGCCCACACGTTTTTGTGATTTAAAATTTGTCTCTTATGTTGTTTCTCTTTGGTTGAACTAACAGCTGTTTCATTTCGCTCTCCCCACGTCTGCAGTGCATGGTGTCTTTCCACAACCTGGGAGCTCTGCTGGGCCGGCTGTCTCCCCGCTGCTCTGACCCTCTGCCGGCTGTACGCGCCGCGGCTGTCGACTGCCTTTACACGCTGCTTTCTATACAGCTGCGATACGAAGGTACCCACGCTCACCCTTATGATGCATGACAGTTTTACAGAGGCTTCAGGTATTTGCACTGTCATATAGGTATATTTTTTCTGTGTTTCCTAGGATTCTCCTTGGACTATAGAGATGAAGGCGTTGAAGGTCTGCTGCCTCTGAAAGAAGCTCTGGAGAACCCGGACCATTCAGTGCTTTACAAGACCTGTTCAGATCTCACTAAGGTGAATGTGGATGCAGTGTTGTTGTGCCATGCAGTCACAGCCATGCAGTTAATTAAAAACAGGAGTAGTACATAGTTCTGTGTTACTGTGTTAATATTATTTATTTGAACTGTAGCTTAAAGCAGTTGGTTGCACTAGGTTTAATTTACAGGGATGAAAGAAAAATGATGTACTTTCCCATGCATTTTGTTTTTGTCCTCTTAATTATGCCAAAGGCATACATTGAATTTTGGGATGTTAATGGAATAAAGTGTTGACATATCAGCATGTTTAATATTCCTGCCAAGTGAATTATGAACCTGCAAAGCTCAGCGGTGTGTAACTGCATGTTCTCCTGCGTGTGTCAGGTGATGAGTAAGCGTCTGCCTCAGCAGCAGCTGACGACGCTGGTCTTCATGTTGTTTGAAGGGCTGGTCGACAGTCAGGCCAACTGCTGCAGAGCTTCGTCCGTCATCTTGAACACTCTGCTGAAAAACCGGGGAGCCGGATTACAAGAGCTGGTAAACACACGGGAACACACACTCGGCCACGTTAGGGCCGCTGACGTCTAACGCCGTGAGGTGACGTAACGCGTGGCGTGTGTGTGCCGGCTCTGCAGGTCCCAGAAATGTTGGAGGTTCTGCATGTGCGTCTCCAAAGCATTACAGAGGAGCAGGTACTAACTAACTTGTTACATTTATGTTTTTGTGCACTTGCTTCGTTTGTTTCCACGTCTGGTCCGCCTAACATTTTACGCGTCTTTCTAGACTCTGTGGTCTAGATGGACACATAATTAGAGCTTTCAAGAAAACAGTCGTGTTTTATTATTTTATCAACAAATTTTAAGCAGTTTTATCTGTATTTTGCCAAATTGCGTTAATGTGTGAAGAAAGTCCAATATTATTAAGAACTCATCGACTGCACAGACCCCCATTTATTCCTATTATAACAGTTTAATTTGTAGTTATATTGATATATTTTGCCCACCTGTTTAGATTTGCTATTGAGCCATAATAAAGGAAACGCCAACCAATATTTTGATGTGTAATGACGGCACTTGTTTCAGTTGTTGATGACTTTGTACTTTTTGTGTTTTTATCATGGAAGGTAATTTTATTTATATAGCACATTTTCAGCACCAAGGCAATACAAAGTGCTTTACGTAAATTAAAAGTAAATGCAAACAAAATAACAAACCAAAGGAAAGAGCAAAAGAAGAAAAATAATGTAATAATGTTGATCCAAAGTAAATAAACTAGACACTCCTGTTCAAGGTTGCTAGATAAATATAAATAAGTCTAATTCCTTTTCTGGATTGGAAGAATGTGAGTCTAAAAAGTAGTTGCTAAGGCATTTTTTCTTTATTCTAAGTTTGTTATAATCCCTGTTCAGGGTTAGAACAGTGGGAATCTCTGCATAGCAATCCAACAGTATAACGTACCACCTTGAACTGCCTTGTTCTGGAAAACTGCAATACAAATAAACTTGGCTGATGATCTTAATGTTTCCTGAAGTAAAAACGAGTTTGGCACCCCTGACCTGAAGTCATAATAAATGTTTTTGTTGTGATTATTTTATTTTCACATTTAAAGGTGAGAGTAGCAGTGGGACAGACTGTACTGATCCTGGCTTCTCAGCATCTGCAGACTGTTATCAACACTCTAGTTAACCAACCTCTTCCATATGACAGGTACACAAAACCACCTGCAGTAAAATGCTTCATTCTTCTAAATACTCATGTTTTATTTGTATTTGTTTCACCCTTTTATTTTTTGAATTAATCTGTTGGTGTTAAAAATTTCTGCTTCCTCAGCTGGACCAGCGAGATGTGGATGGCGATGGGAGCAGATCCCATCGTAGCCAATCAGATCATGGAGATGGTGATGGAGAAGCTTGTCATCACAGCACCCTACGTTGACAAGAAGGAGTCGATGATGAGGGGAGGCATGACTAAAGTGGCCACCAATCAGCCACTGGCAGTAAGTGGGACATCCAGTTTGGAAATATCCCAGCGCTGATTGTTATAAAGTCTAAAGCAGATTGTGTGATGTGAAATTAAATCTAGTCTGGAGCAAAATAGAGTCAACTTTATGTGTGGAAGACAGCGGCGATGCATCGATGCGTGTTTATGTGTCCAGATGACGTGCGGCCTAAAGGAGCTGCTGTTGAACGGTCAGGCTCAGGAGCCAGCGGTCAGCCTGTTCCCGCAGCTCTTCTCCTGCCTCACCGTCAGACTGGGAGCGAGCGTCGGAGTCATGCCACCCAAAGACAACAACCACAAGCACTCTGGCTCCCTGCATGTAGCGGGGTACGTAGCTCGGGATTGTTTTTATTTATGTACTTTAAAATGGCCTTTAAAAATCCAAAGGGCCTTTTTACTTGTCTAGAGATGGAGGTAAACCAACCTGTCTCGTGTTTTTTATGTCTATACACTTATTTTTATACATATTTACTGTAGTAAATTTGTTCATTGTGAAATAAACTTTTTTTTTTTTTTTTGCAAAAAAAAAAAAACTCCCATTAAATTAAAATTTCTTACCAACCTCTCCACCTACCCTTTCCAATTTATTCACATCTTAAGTTGGAAATTCACTACATCATTTTAATTTCAATTCATTCACTCATTTTCCTCTAATAGCATTATCAATGGCACTCCCAATGTAAAAAAAAAAAAAAAGTCACTCTCTTTCATATAAAATTCTTTCACATTTGGTAGAATTTAATAAAGAAGGTTTTACTTGGTTTTAATTAGGTTTTGGTTTTAAAATCAAAGACAAACGACAAATCTTTTTACAAAAAAAGGGGTAAAATGCGTTTTTCTAGAAAAACGAGGCTTTTCTAGAAAACCCTCTTGAAGAAATAAAGCATATTTTAGAGCAAAGATTCTTGTAATATTATCATACTGCTGTGAATAGCCTGTGCAGATACTCCATAAAAGCATAAAACATGAAAGAGGCCTTTTACAGTTCCCTTATATTTATCAATAATCCTCGTTTATTTCCGTGTATCGTTTGGTCGAAGTTATTCAGCGCCGCCGTTGGCAGCACGGTGCTGTGGAGCCGCTGGCCGCAGACTGGTTGTTTTACTTTAGTGAAGATATATTTTGTGTTGCAGGGTTGCAGCCGAGGCTCTGAGGATCCTGTTGGCCCGAGCTCAGCTGGACGAGGTGATGAAACGACTCGATGAAGACGATGCCTGGGATGCAATGAAGGAGCTGAATACACACGTTACCGGGGTAACACTACTAGCAAGGTAAGCACACGGAAACAAAAGCTAGCTGGACAATAAAAGAAAAATTAAAATAAATCTTAGCTACACAGAAGTTCATAATAACGAAATTATGTCATTTTTTCCACTCTACATTCTGTTCTGACTTGTACTTTTGGTTATGTTTGTCTTGTTTATAGAGCAATGGCGAAGCATGCTGGTCCCAGGCTGCCTGCAATCGTAGAGAGTCTCTGTCCGTCCCTCAACAACATCTACGAATGCCAGAGGATTACCGTCACTGCTTTCTTTTCCGAGGTGAGAAACTGTTTGAAAATCGCCAACACGCACGCTAACTTTTAACGCCGACGCTTTCTGCTGATGTAGCTTTGATGACTTGGCCGACAAAGAAACGATTTAACTAAAGACGGAGAATCGCGTCACAGGAAGCGCTGATCACTTTTGTTCGGTAACAGATGAAGTTTGCGTTCGTTATTTTTCCCTCCGGCTCGTTTCCTGCGTCCAGCTGCTGAACCATCACGTGGCGACTGAGCTGATGCTGATAGACGTCCTGATGAACAACATGATGGAGAGGATTTCGGATCCCTGCTGCACCGTTCGCATGCTGGCTGTGCGAGGACTCGGCAACATAGCAGTGGGATCGCCAGAAAAGGTGAAAGGTCAACCCAGGCCAGCGTTGGCACGCCGAGGTGGCTGTAGCCTAACTCGTCGCTCTCTCCTGTCAGGTGAATAAATACGCCAAGGAGCTGCTTGCAGCCATGAGCTCAGGAATGGAGGAGAAAGACGATCCAGGTGAGCGAAGAACAGCAGTTTGGTTGAGGTGATGTTTTGTTTTACGTCTGATTGGAAACCGACTGGTTATTTACGGTTTTTCTCAGGTAAACTGATCACCCTGGAGGCCATGTCCGGTCTGTCTAAAGTTCTTCTTCACCTGGACAAGAACAACGTCCACTTACTGGTGGTCTACATCTTCATGAAGATTAGACCCTTCTTAGAAAGTGTAAGTTGATAAAACCCTTTATGAAATTGTTTTTAAAAACTAATGAGGTCATTCTCACCCTTACTCAGGATTTGCTCCTGTCCAAGTCAGTTTAGGTTTATATTAATCCATATCAGACATGAATTAAAGGACAAACATTATTAACCTTAAAAATAAAAATTCCCTTGGCTTCCCTTTCTTACTTTATTAAAATTGCTCATTAATTTTGGACATTTGCCTCATTCTATGCATAATATTTTACAGATTTTTAAAACGATCCTATTTAACATATTATTGTTTTGCTTCTTTTTACTGAACAGCATATTTTTTTTATCAACATGCCACCTAGAGCTGCACAATGATAGAAAAATATTTGATAACGATACTATTTCCTAAATATATTACTGCTATGCAGAAAGTGAAACGATTGCAGCTCATGCATTGTGCTGTTGTATTTTTTTACACTAAACATGAGTCATACTTTAGATCTTTGTTTTAAGATACCTTTTCGTTCTCCTGCCCTAATGATGTGTATTTTCTGCTGAATCATCACCTGTGTCAGCTGAAGTTTTTCAGACCTGAGCAGGTCTCAGCTCTACATTGAGGCCCACGATCTTAACGGATCCATCTGGCCGCGTGTTTGTGCAGGACAACGACGACATCCGTTGCGCTTCCATCCTCCTAATGGGCAACCTGTCCAAGTTCGGCTCGGGAGAGCAGGTTTTCAAAGACCAGATCCACAATGTCCTGGTCAGCTTGCTGTTGCACCTGGTGGACCCAAACGCTCAAGTGGTGAAGGTACAGGAGGACACGAAACAACTTAAGCTGCCGCTTTAACCTTTATGTTCACAAATCTCCTCGGCTGCAAATCGATGTTGAATTTTTCAGGCGTGTAAATATGCGATGCGAGTGTGTGCTCCTGTCGTCGGGTCGGAGCAGATCACAGCCATGTTTCAGAACCACCTGCACGAGGACAAGAGCTTGCACTACGGAGAGTTCATCAACGATCTCACAAAGTACCTGGTGAGACGGGTTTCAGCCGCTTTTATTTACAAATATTTGCTTCTCTGTTTGGAAAAAAAAAAAAAAAAACAAACATCGAAGCGTTAGTCTTTTTGCAGAATATTCTCGAGTTGCTCTAAAGGAGTCGTCGTTATGACGTTGTTGTACCAGCAGACAGTATGTTTGTTGTGATCAGTGGTGATTTTGTTGCTTGTAGATTCAGGACTTTCCCGGCATGCTGAACTTCTACCACATCTCCGTCATCCAGTTCTTCAAGAGCAACTGGGCTGAAGTCAGAGCTGCAGCGGCCATGTTTATAGGTACAGCAGCTTTCTGCATTACTGTAAACATTAGTTCCTAACAATGAAACGGAACTAATTCAGTGTTTGGTCATGAGGGAAATGCCAATGCATCTCAGTTAAACAGAATATCATCGAGAAGGTAAATCATTTCTGTTTTCAAACGTTGATGGTTGTGGCTTGCAGCAGATGAAAACCCCAAAGTTGGCTTCAGAAAATTAGGATATTGCGTAGATTACGTTCCTTCTGGGTTTTAGGTGAGTAGAGTTTGCAGGCCAGTCCAACACAGGGATTTCATGTTTCTGTTGCCAGACGATATGGCCGAAAACTTATCACAATTTAAATGTTTCAAATCAGTCTATTGATAATTATTGATTCGTATTTTGTTTTAAATATTTGAAATACTGCAAAATGGGTGACGTGACCATTCTTGTTTCACCCACAGTTTCCTCTCAAGCTCTTGTACTGATTTTCTCCTTTGATTTCATGCCGCCATTTTGTATTTTTCAGCAGTTATGGGACATGATGGTGAAACCACACGTCTGTCTGCAGGTTTCCTGCGAAAGTCTCAAAGTTTCAGGAGATTCAGTATAAAGAAGCACTCATCAGTGGAACCTATGCTAGAAAATGTCATGAAGATTAAAAACTCTACCACACTTTTTCCTTCCACTCACCTTTCCATTCAAGTGCTTGTACACAGAATTTAACAACCAGCTGGTTTTCGTCGTGTCAGCCCTCCTCCCGTCTCTCCCATTACGATGTAGCTCATAACATTGGGAAGGAAAGAATATTTCCTTCCCAATATCCTTACTTTTACTCATCTTTATATATTTCTAATTCTCTGAGGAAACAGGTTTTTGGCAAAAGGCTCTGACAAACATCAGCTGATGCGTATCAGTTTAATTAAAACCATTATTCTGGTCCATGTCCACCATTAGGGTTCCTCCTGGGGAACATTCAGCAGGAGCACCTCTCTCACCTCAACATGGGCACCATCTCCAAAGGTGAGTTCAGCAGCTACCTTTAAGTCAACAGGGTTGATTTAAAGGCTCACAGGTTCATTGTGTCTGTGCGTACAGGTTTAGTGGTGCTGCTGCAGGATCCGGATCCTGTGGTGAGGGCAAAGGCAGCTGAAGCTATGGGACACTTCCACTGACACCTGGACAAGCAGCTGTGGAAAAGACCGAGAGGTTTAAAAAAAAAAAAAAGTCTGCAGTGGTCAACTAGATCTGAGTAATACATTCAATAAAAAAACCAAAATTCAGGAAATAAAAAAAATGTTAGTTTACAAAGCAACCTGCACGCCGTAAAATGTGTAGCCTTCATATAAAGCGATCCTTATAACTTGATCTCGACATCTATTGAAACCAAACTGGAACAAGACAGAAGAGAACAAATAACCAGTCTTATTTATATGATCATATCAACCTATGAAGAGAGAAAACTCACTGTCATAAAAAACAAAAAAAAAAATGCACATTCAGTTAAGAATCAGCAGTTTCTTTTGTTTCATTCCGATACTTGAAAGACGTGATGTATAAAATGTATTTTAGCGACCAACAACTGTGTCTATAGTGTTTACTGTTCAGTGTGGTAATACCAGAAATGCATTGTGTTCCTAACACTGAAATATACAATATGAAGTTATTCCAAAGGTGAATGTGTTCAAAAATGAATATTTTATGTAGTATCTTTCAATATTACATCGTCATGCAAGTGGTATTTGTTTGCAGATGATACTTTAGCATCAGTTTGGCTTGTAGCTTATCGTTGTCATCACATCGTCGCTCTGCAGAAGTACAACAGATGGACGATTCAGAATTAAATTAGTTTATTGCAGTTCTGCTCAGTGGTTCATTTTCAGTAGCTATTATATAATCCAGCAATAAGTAAACAGCAGCTAATCAATGGCTGCTTTTTTGATAACTAGCATGTTTTTGCTTCTTATACATTATATATACAATGGGTTTGTTTAGAACAGACATGTCGGGCCAGCAAGATGTTGAACTCTTTTAGTTTCATGCCCTCTGGTTTATTAATGCCACACAGCATTAATACATGTTTTTAAATGCTACATCTGAAAGTCCTGTGGGACATCTTGGGTGTGTTTCCCAGAATCAGCCTCATCAGTCTGGATTATTCTGTTTCAATCCACACTGCCACTTTCCTGCGTACATTTCTTGGAATCGGCTCACAAACAATTCCCAGCAATCTGCGCAACTCATAAGCACACTCGGTCATATTTTTAGATCATTACATCTGAGCCAGTTAAAACAAATTATTAGCAACTCTTAGCTAACCGCTTGGTGAGGCAGAATATCCCAGCATAGCCATACTCTCACCTGTGCCAAATGTCTGTTATTTCTTATTACATTAAAACTGTAGAAATAATCAAAATAACTTCCAATTTTTAGTTTTCTCTCATTTAAGACACTTTTTCCTTCCCGGTAGTAAATGAATTAGTGTTAGAATGGAGAGGAGTACATTGTTTGTTGTAAAGTATACCTCTGAATTATCTGTTGCACTTTGACCTCTGGCATGCAGTCCCTGATCTCAGAGCTTCCTGGCAAGCTGCCGTTAAATCCCATTGGTTACAAGTTAGATGAGCAGCTGCTGCTTTCATTGTTTCTACCTGCTCTTGGTGATTTCTCTGTGGTGAAACCTGAAGGACATTTTAGTCTATTTCCGTTTGTTTGTTTGCCACACCACCAACTTGTCACAATGACAAGCCAAATGTTGATTTGAATGTTGCATCTCAAATTTTCAAATTTTCTCCAAACCGGGGCTCATGTCTTAGTACTTTTAACACTAGGGTTTAAGATCAATTGTACTTTTGTGTTTTTTTTTTGTTTTTTTTTAACATGTTGAATGTTTAGTGAGGTGTATCTCTAACGATGATACTATTTCAAATAAATAAATATGCTGATGTGTGGATGTCTATTTTCTTGTGCTACAGAAGAGCGAGATGACAATGTCATTTATTGTGTTGAAAATAAAGGAGCTAAAAGATTCGTGTGTGTAACAGAGTTTGTCTTTTTTTTTTTGTTATTGAAATTTTCACTGAAATAATGTGAATTTCTGCAGTGCAGAGATCAACACACTATTTTAAATGGCACCATGAATTACAACCTTGAATGGATTACAATGTAAAACTGTTAAATTCTCCTTTTTCTTTCATGTGTTCACTACAGTGAACCACTGGGACATCTTTGTAAAACCTCATAAAATGAGTGAGTGTTATGAAACCTTGGTCGATTCAAGATCCCTCTCTGAGACTAATTATTTTCCGATAAGCATCCAGTGATGTCCTTTTTACTTGAATAACATGCATGTCTTTCCCATATTGCACATGAAAATATGAATACCGTATCACAACGTTCTTTCCTCATGATGCCTCCATGAAGTTTGTAGAATAAAGCTGATCGGTAAGCATTAGTCATACATGCTTTTGTAAGTTTTAAAAAAATGTTCATCGCTATGGACTTTAATCTGCTGAATATTTCAACGCTGTTGCCAAATAGTGACCATCTGCTGTTAGTGTGGTGGCATCGACCACCCCAGTAGATCCGCCTCTGGATCTACTGGGGTGATCCAGATGTTTTGTACCTTGATACAAAACATCTGCATTCATTTCTGATGTCAGAGGAAGGATGAGCTTTATTCAATCTTGCATTGAATCAAAAAGAGTCTGGACATCTATGTGAAGTTAAAGCAAACCGAGGGTGTGTGCTGGGGAAGCGTTACGACTCCAAACAAAACGCCTAGGCTCTTTTTTATTTTTTGACACCAAAGATGGTGAGAGATTCAGACGTTCAATAAAATGCTCCAGAGGTACCGTGGTAGCGGTGCAGGACTGACGGTGGCCCTGGAGCCGAGCGGCTGTTTAAGTGAGCCGTACTCTCAGCTCCCTGGGAGAAGAAAGGAAGACGTATGGAAATTCATTTTGAATTTAATTTAACTTTATGCTGATTTTTTTTTTATGTGCCACCATGGAAGTAAACAGGGCCCAAATAGATGGTTTTCTTTATGTCACTCTTTCATGTTGGCCTGTCTAGTCACAGTGTGTTGAAGTACTCTATGGTTTAAAAAAAAAAAGTCCCCCTTTTTTGTGACTTATGGTGTCAATGCGTGTGTGTGTGTGTGTGTGTGTCTTACCACTGACTGTGGAGGCAGACTCAGGGAGCCACTGGACAAAGCAGCCAGGATAAAACACACATAGATACCTACATTCATGACTGGATACAAAGAAAAGAGAACATGAACAACACACAGTTAAATGATCAAAATCTTTTGCTCCAATTAGAAAGAAACCTACAGACAATTTAAGTTAAAAATGTTAAACACAGTTTCATAGTTTCTAAAGAGCAACGTGGGGGGAAGAGATTAATGTTTGGTGAAAATACGGTAAACATCATCTTGTCTGTTTTATACACTCTGGTTGAGCTGCCAAAGAGTGATGGAACATTTTACTGTTCAACACACGCACACACACACACACACACACACGCTGATTGTGGCAGTGTCAGCGATGAATAAATCTCAAAGGAAATATGATAATTATCTCCACATCTTAATTTGGCTCTGCGCTTTGCTTTTTGGGTTCAGATTATATTAAAATAAACTCACTGAGGAACTAAATCATATTTGTTTTTTCCCCATCTATAATTTCCTCTTTTAAGAAAATTTCCTCCAACAAATGGTGCCAATGAAATATTTCCTCACACTCAGAATATCGCTGATAGATTATTATTCTGGATGCAATATTACATTTGGGAGGCTGATTTAGCTAATTATTCACCCTGGTGAATAATCTTCATTAGATGTGATGAACGATGCTTGGTATTAGAAAACTCTTCCAGAAGAAAAGTCCAATTAGATAAAAACAACACCAGTTGCTTGGAGGCTTTCGATCTGCAGTAATTGGAAAATCCCACTGTCTCCGTTTGCTTCTGTGTTGCTATTACAGCTCAGCGCTCTGCAGACTTCTGTTTACTGTCACTGAACATGTTTATTCAGAACCATTTTGAGACTTTCCAGCTTTAAGTTCTTTGCAAAATATTCTGAGGTGATGGAGGCTTTTGCAGCCGTTCCCTGGTTATTCACTGATTATTTCATATAACATCCTAACACCAGGAGTTGTTCGGATGAGACGTGCAGCTCATAGTTTTAATCTCAGTTACATCAAGAATTGATCTGTAATTTCATCACTGGCACAGAAAACAAATGTCCATTTCAATAATTTTATAGAAAGTGGCAGAGTGGTGCTGTAAGTAGTCATTCTTTCAATGCTAATATAATTCCTGATAGCAGCTGGTCGTCTTTCATTCATTATTCATCGGGCTGATAATGATGAGCTGCTGTGTGTGAGAACCTTTTCCACAACTCTGCATCGCACATTTTACACTTTGCTTAGTATTTTTTTTTTTTTTATCAGATTGTAAAAGAGCTGATTTTTTATTTTTATTTTAATCATATTTTCTTGTCTTAAGTCTTTACTGAAATGCAGAAAACAAAAACCAAACAAAATTGGATTCAAGTTGAGAGTAATTGTTTTTCTCCACTGAAATTATTTATATATTCAAAAACAAAAATCCCTTGAGATCAAAACTTGGTTCACAAGGTTGACTTGGCCAAGAAAAGCAGCAGCACACGTCAGGATAGACTAGAAAACGGAAATAAGAAAACAGATATTAGAAATATAGAAATGTCAAGAATTTGACAATGAAGTGTAGTAATTCACAACACTAATTTAAAAACTGTCAATTTGAGGTTTAAAACACAGGGGCTGTTGTCATTTTCACCACAAATCTACAACTTTTGAGTTCTTAAAGGTGCAGTATTATGTAAAATCAACTTCTCTGAGCTTCATATCATATTATAATGACATTCCTTCATTAAAAACATACCTGGAATGTCGCTTTCATTCTCTCATGCAAGTTTGAGAAATCCTTTAATTTCCTGTGGCAACCATTCAGTGTAAAATGCCTGGGTGGACTTAGCTCCGCCTACAAGGCACAACCCCTCCTTGGAGTTTCTTCTTTCAAGCTTCTAAGTTCACAGAGCAGCTCCTTCAGACTAGCCAGCGGCAATTAGCAAAGACCTGGTGGAACGAGCTACTTCTCGGTTAACTGCTGGTTAAAAGCTTTGCTCAATGTTAACAGCCATGTTGTGATAACTTCCTGAAAACTTAAATTTTCTTAACCGAAGTTTAAAAAATTGCTATAAAATTGCACTGTGTGCCAGGAAAGCACATAATATTTCCCCTTTAATCATTTATTAAAGACTTTAAAACCTGGGGGAAAACAAAGTAACTTTTTTGCGTCTTTTTTAGAATTTTACACCAAGTGTTTGCAATGTTAAGTAGCTCTGTTTTTACAAAATAAACAGTTAAATGACCAACTGCATGAATGCTGTGTATTTCTTACCTGCAGTTGTTGGTAAACTGGAAGAAGAGGATCAGAAGATGCAGAGTTTTGCTTCAATGCTGATACTGAGAGAATGCAAGGGAAAGGATGCCACGTGTTATACAGACTCAGAGGGAGGAGCCTGTACATATGGGAGGAGCCTGTACATGTGGGAGGAGCCTGTACTGGTGGGAGGAGCCTGTACTGGTGGGAGGAGCCTGTGGAAAGCACAGAAACTGACAGCACTTACTGAGAGCTGAGCAACATGACATGTCAGGCCAGCAAGATGTTGAACACTTTTAGTTTCATGTCCCACAGCATTAATAAATGTTTTTAAAATGCTACATCTGGAAGTCATATGGAACATCTTGATGTTTAGGTTTGTTTCCCAGAATCAACCTATCAGTCTGGATACATTCTGTTATTCTGTTTCAATCCGCACTGCCACTTTCTGCGTACATCTCTTGGAATCAGCTCACAAACAATTCCCAGCAAATTGCGTAACTCGTGAGCACACTCAGTCGGGCGCTGGGCGTCCACTAAGTGGTCCATCTTCTATGGTGTGATCTTACAGTGCAATTAGAAGAAAAAAAGGAGTTAGCAGATGTCATTAGGGATGTATAGAAGTTCACTGCATTCACCAAAGAGACACATAGGCACCTTATCTCATAATTACAAGATGCCTGAAAAGTTGCCATTTAATGCCTGACATTCTGTGTCACCCTTGTGCCCAGGGTCTTCAACAGAGAGCCAGTGTGTTTATTAAGTGATTAATTTTCATTTTCCAACACTATGTCCATTAACCAACGATGCCCTATAATAAACCAACTGTTTGTGGAAGACTAATGGTCCTGCTTTAATTTTCACAGCCCACAAGAGAGGTGAGCGTGATCTGAATCTTGGCCAAACGTCATCTTAAACTCCTTAAGTTCCTGAAATGAGCAGGTAAGATGTGGGTATTTGTGAAAGTGGGGTTCAGCCCGCATTAAAGTTTTACCTGCCAAAAGGCCGAGTAAATAAGACATATCAGAGTACAGTAGGAAGCCCCCACTACGACCTATTTCACCACTAAACCTCTCAGTTGACCTCACAGCAGGGAGGTGAACTGAAAGGCCTGGGAAACGGAGCATTGGCGACATCTGCTGGACGAGGAGAAGTGTTAGTTGGTAAATTTTGAATCCAGGCGTTGAATGGTTGTATTTTGTTGATCGATGAGGTTTCTGAGGACAGCACCATGGGTTTGAGTGAAATGCATTGGTCTTCTTGGCCTGGGTGTTCTGTCATGATGGTGTTTAGCTTTTTTGACCCACATGCACAGACGCTCTCAGGAGACGAGAGAAAATGAGAGATGAACAGAGATCTGAAACTCTGAGACGAGACAGTGTTGAACTGGTCCTTTTGTCTTTTAAATGTGCATTCATGATGAAGGGTTTGACTGGGTCCCAATTCTCCATAGCCGTCTTAAGCCCCGCCCTTTTTGGGTCCCACTTCCGAACTTCTGCTAGGCGGACTTAAGCAAGTATGTTACCCACAATTCATTGCTGCATGAGGTATTTGAATTAAAAGATGGAAATACGGCTATTTTCACAGAGGAAGCTGTATCTGA